AGCACTACATGTAGCTTTTATAATCTGTTTTTCTGATCCCTTTTGTGTCTTTGGTTATGTATCCTTTCTCATTTCTTATATAATGTTGCTCTCTCTTTTCCTTAACAAACCTTATAGTATGTTCATCTATTCTGTAATTATATTAAAAAGATTTGCTATGGAAAATATTTCTTTATCCTTCCTATTTATATTCACTTAATGAGGTTTAGCTTTTATATTTTATAACTTTCACTATATTATTTTGAACTGTATTCTTTAATAACAAAGCCATTTACAGCTATAAATGCTTATCTAGCACTGGCCAGTTTGGCTCAGTGGATAGAGCTTTGGCCTGCAGTCTGAAGGGTTCTGGGTTTGATTCCAGTCAAGGGCATATGCCCGGGTTGCAGGCTGGATCCCCAGTAGGGGGTGATGATTCTCTCTCATCATTGATGTTTCTCTCTCTTTCTCCTCTCCTTCCCTTCCTCTCTGAAATCAATAAAAATATATTTTAAATAACTAAATAAAATAAATGCTTATCTGGATACAGCTTTTGCGGTGTTCCAAAGGTCTTATAGTATGCTCTTTTCTAGAGTTTCTGGCTATCATTTCCCAGAGAATATTCATTTCTTTAGAAGAAGCATTATCTAAAGATTTGATAATTAATTTTCAGGTAACTAGTCACATTAGTCACATTTACCCTGGCCAGCATGCTCAGTGTTTAGAGCATAGGCTTACTCACCAGAGAGTTGTGGGTTTGATTCCAGGTCAAGGGCAGGTATAATGGTTGCAGGTTCAATCTCTGGGCTGGGTGGAGTACCTGTGGAAGGCAACCAATCTCTCCTCTCTCTAAAAATCAATGAAAAAATACCCTCAGGTGAGGATTAGCAACAAAAAATTAGTCATAATTCAATCTGTATTTCTGATTTTATTTGCTCAATATCTACAGAAGTGCTTTATAAAATCCCTACTTAAATATTTTTGTTAAGGTATTATTTGAGGTTAAATAATTCTTAAATGTTTTATAGACATTAAGAAGAGTGTTTCAATTAACGGACATGGGATTTTTATATATCTATTAGTTAAGTTTTTGTTGCATTAGTCATTTTTGCTATGTTCTTGTTTATTTTTTTTATGTTTCATTGTTTTCAGAGACTTTCTTCTATTATAAGCTTTAGTTACTCTAGGAAAAATAGTCTATTTTCTACTTAGAATTCTTCAGGTCACCCTCCAAATGAGCTCTTTTTTTTTTTTTCTTTCCAATACTCTTGACTTTTAGCCTGGGAGTGGGGTAGGGGGGAAAAGTGGAATATTCTGCAGAATAGCATCATATCAGTGCTCTGTGTGAGACTGTCTTATTCAATTTTCTTCACTCAGGAATATTTAGTTTTTTCCCTTCAGTTTACATATAAAACCTGCTACAAGCTTCCTTACCGCCCTCTTCTGTTCAATGCTATAAAATATAGAATATTCCTATGTAGATACAAAGCCAGTCATATTGTGTCTTCTTTAACACAAACCATTTCCTTTTAAAGGGACTATGCCACTTTCCTTAGATCATGACATTTAAAATATATTAAAACCATTTTTTTATTTGGTAATCATTGTATTTCTTGCTGTTAATAAAAATTCAACCATGCTTAATTGAGATGAAACTTTAAAAGTAGTATTATATTATCAATAATAATCACAAAAAAACTGACACTTTCAGATACAATCATATCAAACCAAATTCTGAAACATCTTATAAATATTAGAAAGCAATTATAAAACCAAGTCTCTCTGTCTGCCTACTGTAAATGATCTGCTAGCCTCAGACTTTCCATGCAGACTTGTTAGAACTTTTCAGCTCCAACTTTTCTTGACCTTCAAGGTCACTATCATTTGGGTACCAGTAAGTGATGTCAGAATCAGAGACAGCTTCTGCTTAATCTAAGGTAAAGAATTTACACTGATCATAATGAGGTATGACAGCCATATTTGACTAATCTACAAAGAAGAATATGTCATTGCAATAGTAATGGCACAAGCCACCCAATTAATTATTGGAAAATTGGACGGATTGCTTTGGAAGTTTTCCAAGAGATAAAGTGCTTCTGGCTCTTTGCTTCGAAGGCAAGGCAAACCAAACCTCTTTAACTCCCTGGGGTAGAGAAAAATTTGATTTTCTGTTCTTAAATTTTATATACCGAAATCTATTCCACAATAGAGGCAGAATTGCAGGACTGAGAAACTCAAATGTTTATGTGAAAATTATGAGTCTCGTAATTCGTGATGATCATCATGACATTTTTAAAAAATATAATTTTTATTGATTTCAGAGAGGGAGGGAAAAAGATAGAAACATCAAAGATGATAGAAAAATCATTGGCCAATTACCTTCTGCATGCCCCATGCTGAGGACTGGGCCTGCAACCTGGGCATGTGCCCTGACCGGAATTGAACTGTGACCTCCTGGTTCATAGGTCAACACTCAACCACGGGCCACACTGGCCGGGCCATCGTGAAATGTGAGGGAGCTCTTCTGGTGTTTTCTCTCCCTGTAAATAACAATGGGAATATTATAATCTTGCAATCTATAAAATGTTTTCAGTTATAACTTGCTTGATGTGTACCACAGTCTCTGCTTCTTAGTGAGGGAAATTTAAGTCCTCAAATGTCAAACAGCATATTCCTGCTAGAGCTAGTACGCTCCCACAGGCCTAATTGCAAGTCGGTCTCTTACTCTTGACACTGCCAACATAGCAACAGTGCACCTCTGTTCCTATATGGTAACTGGAATAGGGACAATAGGGAATGAAGCCATAGCAACCAATTTAACCTTTGCATGAGCTCATTCATTTCTTTCAATACTTCACCTAGTTTTAGGAGAAAATGGAACCAACAGATTTCACATTAAAAGATCCCTTGAAGTACTAAATAATCAAGCAGATGCTTCCTCTCCATTAGATTGAGCAGTGCTGGGGAAGAGTGTGGAATTATCTCCTAATTATAACCCTGTGCTGAACTCACTCACAGTTGTGGAGGGAGCCTTACCCTCTTTGTTCTATCTGAAAACAACACCACAAAGTCCTATTTGTTGTGAAAAATTAGGTCACCTGATGCCAAATTACATTTCCTACAGCACTTCTTAGTTCCAGCTGAGGCACCTTTCAATTCTAGTTCCTCGGTCACATCCTCAAATACCATTTTAATATAGAAAACATAGCAAAACACACGACAACGAAACTGTTCCCAAGGCCTATTAATATTGGGTGGCCTATTTACCTCTGTTCCATTGTGTCAAAATCCTGAATTTCACTGAGAAGGAAAGATGGATTGCTTTTGTTTCCTAGTCTCTAGAAGAGGAGTTGAGATGTCAGTTGAAAAGTACCTCTCTCCATCACCACGGGAAGCTAATCAAGGAAAAATGTCTGCAGGTAGTAGATACATTAATCTCCCCCTGGATCACGGGGCTGTTATGAGGTGTAACTAATCGTATCGTTGGGACTCATCTCGCTCTGTAATAACATGCTCCACAGTGACATGAGTGGCTGCAGGAGATGGATGTTGCATGTAAAGGAAAAAGTACTGTTCAGAGGGAATATCTATCTGCAAACCTGTGCCTGACACCGTGACAGTCTGCGGTGAATGCAGCTACCGTGTTTCTACCACAACCCGTTTGCCATATCCTGTCATCAGCGTGTTTCTGAAACTGTCCCAAGCCATCTTCACAGGGCGGTTTCAGATCCACAGGTTGTTACAACAACTTAGTTCCCAGAAATGACCTCTGTCAAAGGGGTCTGCTCAAGTCCACTTTTGTGCTGAGTCCAGACGCTCAGAAATTTCTATTTAAGAGCCTCCTAGAATATTTCAGTGGCAAGGTTAATTCAGATCTTTCACAACTTCTCATTTCCAGAACAAGTTCCTCCCATATTTCCTGGGCAGAAGGAAAGCACTGTGATCTCTTGCTACATGTTCAGTGCCAGTCACTTATCGACCGGCTGATAGTTGGCGGAATGGAAAACATTAGGATGGACAAGTCAGAAGGTCTTATGGGCACAAATTCCATGACGGGCAGGAACAGAATATTTCTGGGCTTCCAAGGAAGGGTTGACACTCTTTAAGGTTCCTTCCTCCTTTAAAATTGTATGACTTTTTTAAAAGTTATTTATTCAAAACCTTTTTCATGCTTCTTATCTATGAAATTAGAAAATCTTTAAGAGGCAAACATTGGGGTTGTTAATTTTTAACTTAACTTTACATTTTAAATTTAAAAATAATTTTTAAAGTATATTTAATTTAAACAATTAAATATTTTATGTTAAAAAAAAACCCTATAGATTATTTTATGTCAAAAGGAAAATAACAGGAGAATCAATAAAGTACATATTAGAGCCGAAACCAGTTTGGCTCAGTGTTTAGAGCATCATCTGGGGACTGAAAGATCCCAGGTTTGATTCCAGTCAAGGGCATGTACATTGGTTGTAGACATCCCCAGTAGGGGGTGTGCAGGAGGCAGGTGGTCGATGTTTCTCTCTTATCGATGTTTCTAGCTCTCTAGCCCTCTCCCTTCCTCTCTGTAAAAAATCAATAAAATATATTTAAAAAATAAAGTATTATACATATTAAAAGAAGGAGTAAGATGTATGCAATATTTACTGACACTGAGAACCAGAATTTACTCAGAATTTCCTGGTAGCAAAAGCAAAAGGGCAAATAATGGACTGTATTTCTACTGTCTAATTTTATTTCAAAAGAACTGCAATCATTTTTTCTAAAGAAATAAGTATTTTCTGGAAATAAATACTTCTAGACTGATATATACCCTGGTGTTAATTGAAACATTTTCAGAAGGGGCACTGATACATGCTAGAGACACACAATTCAGTAAGAAACAAACCATCCTATATAAGCAGTTCGTACGTCTATCAGAACAACGCCAAAAGTATTTTCACGTCTGCCTTTGCTATGCTTTTCTTTTTCTCAGGGTGAAGACTAGTGCCATACATTTAATCAATGACTATAATTTTATTTTTCAGAATGAAAAGTCCCCAGGACGATCTGCAAGTCGATCAAGTAATATCTCAAAAGTAGGTGAACTTTACTTATTTTCTTAATTGTTTATTGACGTCCATATTTACTCTATAATGCTTTACCTATAATTATTATCGGTGAACAATAGACGAATATGACTTGTGAATGGTTTTAACTATTTCAAGCTCTTACTGTGTTAAAAGGCATGATTTTACACAACAAAATGAGGTTAGCTATTTTTTCCTCTTCGGTGCTGTACACAAAAGATCATTTGCTACTTTCAGAGTGTCATACAAAGTATGTTTTTCCCCTCGTGTTTCAAGCACCATAGAGTTGCCACATACCCATATTGAAACTATATCAACATTCATGATATGATTTCCATGAATTCAATGTTTCAGGAGTTTGGGCTCAATGATGCTAGAACTTAACTATTCTTGTCACCAGGGCAAGTTTTATAAATTAATTTAAGACATTCGTTTGATCATATTTACTTTAGAGTAAAAGGATGAAAGAAAAAAAATAATACCCCCTAGACTTATCTATAAATCTGATCAAGACACAAAAGTGTTCAAGACATTTTGGCATGGGAGAGATACTCCAGATTTTTATTTTTCCCGGGAAACAAAAATTAAGAGCCATTTTCTAAAATGAGACTCTATGCGATGTATAGGCTTGCTGCTTTGGGAAGTAAAAAGTCATTTAGAGCCATTTGTCAAATTGAAAATTTACGACTTCCAAAAATAAAATTCAGACAGAGATGAATTTACCATGAATAAAACTTTTTATTACAGGACCCCTCATTTGACAACACCCTTCTGCAGCCTTAAACTTAATTTTGTATATGTAATTTTTATGTTTTTCCTTCAAGAGGGACCCCAAAATAGTAATAAACTTTAGGCACCATGGAACCTAGATCTACTTCCAGTTTAAGGACATTTTTAAAAAAATTCTGGGTGGGTTTTGGCAAAAAGGACTTTATTGCCCATTGAAAAATAGTAGTAGCCAGACCATCAGCTATTTTCTTGAGCTGGTTTCCCAAGATCAGTTCTTCTAAGACAATGCCAAGATAGTCAGGTGCCACCTACAAACACATTGAGTTAATTGGGCGGGGGGGGGTGGGGGGGGCAGATACGCCGAGGACACGCAGAATCCTGAGTAAGCATGCCTGTTCATTGCTCAACAGGGAGATTATATCTCTACTAGAGGCCCAGTGCATGACATTTGTGCACTCTGGCAGGCGGGGGGGGGGGGGGGGGGGGGGGCCCGGGGAGGAAGGAGGCAGGTCCTGCACCCTTTAGCAGTCCAAGAGTACTTGGGCGGGGAGTAGGCTGAAGCCAGTCAGACAATCTTAGCTCTGCCTTGGAAGCGGGCCGCTATGCTTGCCAGCAATCAGCCCAGCTTGCCAGCCATCAGCCCAGCTTCTGGCTGAGCAGTGCTCCCCCTGTGGGAGCCCACTGACCATCAGGGGGCAGCTCCTGCATTGAACATATGCCCCCTGGTGGTCAGTGTGCATCATAGCAACCAGTCTTTCCGCTGTTCAGTCAATTTGCATATTACCCTTTTATTATATAGTGTTATTATTTGGATGCTGCAATGCTAGCCTCTATACAAACATCCTTAAAAAGATATCTCAGAACAAAAGCAGTCAATGGTTCTTCTTGTAAGAGATGTATAAGAGACACATAGAAAGCCCTTACCAGATCAGCTCAGTGGATAAAGCATCTGCCTGCAGTCTGAAGGGTCCCAGGTTCGATTCCAGTCAAGGACATGTACCTTGGTTGTGGGCACATTCCCAGTAAGGAGTGTGCAGGAGGCAGCTGATCAATGTTTCTCTCTCCCATCGATGTTTCTAACTCTTTATCCTTCTCCCTTCATCTCTGTAAAAATAAAATCAATAAAATATATTTTATAAAACTAGAGAGACATAGAGACTTGCAACTCACCACATGGTACTGAGAATGTCTGTTACACTCAAATCTAGGTACCTGTATAGATCTTTGAGAGGCAGTGTGGATCAGTGGTTAATGGTACTAACTCTGGAGGGAGAGGATCTGAGGGCATGTTGTTGCTTACTTGGACTTTTGACTGATGTAACCCTGAGACCGTCACTTAACCTTCCTAAGACACAGTTGCCTCCAGTGTGAGTTGAGAATGAGATCAGTCACCTGAAGGAGGTTTGAGGTGCTTGTAAGTTAAAACAATACCTTTGAAATGTTTGTTGTTAGTCACACCATGAAGAGCCTAGCCCACAGCTACAGAACATAGCCATCTTCTGAACTTGAATGTTAATGTTGACCTAGCAACATGAAAACAGTTCTGACAACTCCTTCCTCATACCAATTATTGTTTCCTTATCCAGGGGTGAAATTATATCTGCATTTCCAAACTGCAGTTTGAGTTTGACATAGCACAGCTTGTTTATAACATTTTAGACTTTTAATTTGTTCTATAAGAAGTAAAAAAAGAAAAAAAAGAAGAAAAAAAAAGTCAGGACTATGTTTTTTTTGTTTGTTTGTTTTTTCTGTGAGTTCTTCCAGACTCTGCTATCTATTAATTGTGTCATTGTGTGGAAGGCAGTTAATGATAAAAATACATCCTATTCAGAGAGAAATGAAAATCTCTCTTCTTAAACAGTCACTCTAATTGTATAATAGCAAAACCAACTACCTCACACCTGTAGGGATAAAAAGAATTCAGTGTGCATATTTTTTTTCTTTAAACCAATATAACTTCCCTTTTTTATGTGTTCAGAATGACAGTCACAAATGCTAAATACATTGTTGATTCCTCACTACTTTTTTATGAATCATTAAGTGATGAATTGTTCAAAAAAACCGTATAACTTATCAAGTATAAAATGGGGAAAAATCTAGCAATATAGTAGTCCTTTTATTTTAAAGTGGGGGAGAAGAAAACATTAACACGGAACAAAAATGTTCTGTCTCTAATTTTGTCAAAATAATATTTTACATAAAAAATAATTTTTATGTGAAATAAAAGATCATGAGCCTTTCAAGGATGCGATAATCATTATAACAGAGTAATTAAGAGCGTACTTTCCAGAGTAACTGCTCAGGAGGGTGAACTTCCTTAGTAACATTATCTGTAAAAGATGAATATACAACAGTATCAATCTCTTGAAGAGGTGCTTAGAACACTGGCTCTGAGTATTAGCTATTCTTATTATGGGGCTTTTAATATTTATATTTCAGTAACAGTAAGTGCTCAGTAAGTCTTTTTGTAAGCAAGTAAATTTGAGACATGGGTTATAAGTATTGTGTTCTGAGTGGAATAAGAAAAATTGAGACTTGACAGGGTTAAAATGTCAGTGATCTGACAGAATTTTATTGAACAAAATTGCATAGTCCTGCTTTCTTAAAAAGTACATATATAAAAATATTATATATAAATATATATGTAATAAATTATCTGATTTCAGTAGCAATATCATTCATATGTTATCTCTTATCTTTTATTAAGTTTGTTCCATCCCCTATTCTTTGATATGGGGAAGTCGTAGATAATATAGGGGACTCCATTCAGAATGGGATAGCAGCAATGCCCTTCACACTGTTGAGTTTTCTTCCCTACCTGTTTTTTTTTTTTTTTTTTTTTTGCTGTTCCTTCTTGAATCAGCAGAACTTCTAATCACCAATACTTGTAGAATGTCTCCCATCATGCAGGAATCTTATTCCATACTGGAATTGATGGAGTAATGAAAAAAATGTTCCAAGTCCTCAGCGATCTTACAGTAAAGGAATTAAAAATATGACATATATATCTCCTATATAATAAAAGGCCAATATGCAAATTGTTCCTTCAACCAGGAGTTCAACCAGCAGGCAGGGCATCCAACCACCCATGTTTCCTCCCCTTGGCCAGGCTGGCCAGACCCAGGACCTCACCCATGCATGAGTTCATGCACCAGGTTTCTAATATATATATACTGAGTGGCCAGATTATTATGTGTTCAGAGATCATAATAATCTAGCCACTCAGAGAGTGTGTGTGTGTGTGTGTGTGTGTGTGTATTATATATCTTACCTAATAATAAACAAACATGTAAATTGAATGTACTTCCACTACGCCCACAGCCAATCAGGAGTGATATGCAAATTAACCCAACAAAGATGGTGGTTAATTTGCATACACAGGAGCTGAGTGACTGGGATGGGTGGGTGGAATGCCTGCGTCATCACCACGGCGATGATGCAGGCATACCAACCCATCCCCGGTCTCTCAGGGCCTATGGACAATGGTTAGGGACAATCAGGAAGGCAGGCAGGCAAGCGGTTTGTAGCCAGCAGTCCTGGATTGTGAGAGAGATGTCCAACTGCCTGTTTAGGCCCCATCCTACTAGCCAGCAGTCAGACATCACTCGAGGGGTCCCAGATTGAAGAGGATGCAAGTTGGGCTGAGGGACACACACTCCCATGCAAGAATTTTGTGCACTGGGCCTCAAAGATATAATATATATGATATGACCTTCTATGCAGAAAAATATGACAGAGCAGCCTGAAATTATTAATTAAAATAAAAAAGACCTGCTCTCAGGTTGGTCCTTAGCTGGCATCTGAGAACTTGGAATTCAGGAGAAGAGAACCATCTTAATTGTTAACAATGGTTCACTGTGCCTAAACTAGGCAAACTATGTAATTTATCCTTAATACCTGCTTTCCTAGAGGAGTTTAGAATTTGATATATTCTTGGTGATAGGTACCTACATGACCAAACCCCAATGAAAACTTTAGTCATTGAGCCTCCAGTGAATTTGCCTGGTAGATATCGCAGTTCACATTGTCACAATTCATTGCTGTAGAATTAAGTGCATCCTATACAACGCCATGGGGTAAACTTTTGGAAGGTTGGAAATTTTCTCTTGGTTTCCTCTGGACTTCATCCCACATGCATTTCCCCTCTGTTGATTTTCCTTTGTGCCCTTTCATAGTTATAAGTCATGGCTCAGTGTATGACTATAAGTTCAATCTTATGAGCTGTCCTAAAAAATCACTGAACCTGGGCAGAGTTATGTGAACCTCTGGGGCATTAGTCA